TCCTAAATTTAATAATTGGACGCTCTTCCGTCCTCTAAATCCAATCGGTCTGCGACCCATCCCGCTTGGTCCCGCCATGGTAGGGGGCTGAGGCCTTGGTGCATTTACGGAAGCGTTTCTACATGTCGGCCCGTTTCCCTCCGGAAATGTCGGATTCGTTCGGAAAGAAAACACCGAAAGTGGCTCGAAAAAGCGAAATTCTTGTATTTTACATGAGAACTGCGAGAAAAGTCCGTCGTCGTCGCCGTACCGTTGCATCGCGTGTGGACGACACTCAAAAAACGTCTACGGGTCATTTGGTGTATCTTTCGTCTCTGGAGCTAAAAGAATTTGGCTCATTATCGAAGAAACGGGATACTAACGGCAAATACGAATTCCAACTTCTTTTTAGTAATGACTTTGTTTGGAGATTGTTAAAATTGTTTCGTGCATGTTTCTGATGTGTTACGCCGATTAAAGTCAACCTACGTTTATCTGATAATATAGACGTACGAGGATCGTCGCGTGACTGTGACAAAAGTCACTGCTCCAAACGCCTCCGCGCGCTACTTTGTTGCCGACTGGCAAAACTTTTATTGTTTATTTGCTGGGACGCTGATATGACCTTAAACAAAATCTGACCTTGTACTCCTTTCGTCGCTTTCTTACAGTTTTCGCTCTTTCACTAAGAATATACAATTAAACGCGAGATTTCAATCGACATTCGTCACTTCAACTTCTACCGTCCATCGACTGCTCCATTTCTCCTCTATCGTCTATCGCAATCGATTCAATTTCCCTCCTGTTTCCGATTGCCGCCTTAATAACCTTTGAATAGCGAAAAATAAACGAGGTCAAAAGCCGACGCCACGGTTTTCTCTCCACTTTACGCAACGAGTGTTCCGGGGCGACAGCTAAGTAAAGAAGCCAACACGTAGGTTTGCATGGCCACGTTCACCACACTACAACGGTAAGAAGCGCTGGCAAAGGTAGATCGATTTTATTGGTTAACGAACCACCGACAGACCGCGCGAACTTGACCCGTCCGGTGGCCCAAAGAGAAAAGGAAACGAACCGAACAGAAATAAATTGGGCCTTTCTCTCGATACCTAGCTTTCGACGCGTTATCGTCTTTTAATTACTCCGCCCGTGGAGCGGGGACGGTCGAAGTACTTAACCCCCGAACGTATCGAGACGAAATCGACCGGTATCGGTACGGGCTGACCAAATAGCGTGGGAAACCGGCCGACTTCGCCTTCGACGGAATGAGGTCTATTCACCTTCCTGGGACTATAAAAGTCACGTGATGGTTTAAAAACGTGGTACTTATCGACATACATACACCCTGTTCTCGACAATGGTTTCTAAAGTGCATTTTATTATCGGTGTTCTAATGTCTAATTAATTTTGGCTATTCCCACAATATCTTATTGCGGGAGAATGAAAAATTTGCGGAAAACAGTGCTAAACTTTTGAAAAAAAAAAATTCATTTATTACTGTTTTATTAGACTACTATCGTACAGTATTTTTCTTCTGCTAAGTATTTTATAACAATTTTCTTATATTTGAAATTCGAATTATCAATGAATTAGTAACATAACTTATATAACATTTTAAGTCCCTTAATAAATTACTTTTAATTCCCTATTAAAGTTTTTAACTAAAAATTTTAAAATTTTATTATTTTGAATAACAAACTATCCTTTGTTCTATTCAATTTCAGTTAAATTTCACGAGATGTAAAGTTTTATAATTAATTTTATTAATTCTGTTTGTAATATTTCATCTAGCTTTAGAATAATAATCTGTACTGTACAAAACATATTACAACATTGCATTAATATATAATTTATTTGATGTATTAATCGATTTTTATGTAATGATATTTAATATAAAAAATATATATAATTCTAATTAAAATACCCTTTAATTTATAAAAATATTTGTTATAATATACATTTTGGTTTATTCTGATACAAAATAAATGTAAATTTAGTTGATGTAGTGTTTGATTTTAATTGTCTTGTATTAGTAAATGACTGATAAATAGAGCAATCTTCATCGAAATGTACGGAACAAATTCGTGTGTTGTTTTTAGGTTTAAAAATCTTTAATTTTTACTACCCGTTCCTTCGTTAAAAAAGGTTTGTTGTGAGGAAAATTATAGAATGATATTCCTTTATTCTTAGTATTTATACATCACATCCAAATGCCCAACATGGTATGAGCATTTTCGTTTGTTATTCGAAACTAAATTAATAGCCACTATGCTGACCATGTGCTTTGTTTACATACTGTCACGTGGTCCTTTACGTCACACGAATAGACATCATTTGTCGACGGGATTCGGGCGTCGAAGAGTAAACGAATTGGCCATTTCCGGCGCACGTGTCCGGTGGCCGGCGACACGCGCGTAATGGTTCGGTCAAATAATGACTTTACGGAAGAAAGGCATAACACTTGAATTTGCGAATTTGCATATTGGCCTCCCTCTTAGCTTACATTTTGCTTTAAAAAAAAAAATGGAAGTTTTATGCGTAATGGTTAAACGCACGTCATACAGTACGTTAGCAATGTGAGTAGATAATTATAATGCGTGGCAAGTGTTATAAAGAGTAAAGAATTGCCGCAGTCTTCTGCGTAAGACATTCGTTCCGTTTTTTTTTTCTATACCTAACAGTCCACTAAATTTTATGGCGTTCGTATTTAAAACGCCGCGAAATTTCGGTCTCGATTAGCCGGAAGTACTGTACTTGGAATAAAAGTTTGGTAGTTTACACTTGTTACCTTTATTAAGTAGAAAAATAAACGGTGGGTGTCGGAAAAAAATAGTAGCGTTGCTTTTTTTTCTCTTCTCCTTTACAATAGAAAATAAAAGAAGAACGTTAAGTAACGACGTAAAGCGATTCGTTCGAAGCGACGAACGATTCGCATGGCTTAAGGACAAACGAACACAATTTTAAAATATCCGATTCTTTTCTCTTTACGAAATTTTAAAATTTTCCATTGCGAAGAGGCAGAAAAGTGAAAGAACGTTCGGGATGATCGGTCTGTGAATATAACCCGGTGTGCTAGCTGGCACTCTATTCCGATTGGTTTTAAAAAGTCACGTGGTATTTACTTCGACCATTTTTTTAGTTTAAGTGCTTTTCCCATATTTATTTCAATTTTATATTCTATATTACAGAAAAATACCCCAAGGCTGTGCAAATGGGTGGGAAAACTAAAAAAAAGTTATCTTACAATTTTCTTAGAGAAAGTTAGAAACGCGAAAAAGAAAAGAAAGGATTTGTTCACGTCGTATTGCTAGGAAACATTGGATTAACTTTCAAATATTTAAATTATTCCTACTATTAATAGAGTGAAATTAAGTTAATTGTTCCGAAATAAAGACAGATGTTTTTATTTAAAACACGAAAGAACAAAGGTCGAAAAATGGCGGCCATCGGGCGATTGCGCTATTTTAGAATATTCGTAGCCTCGGTAAAAAGGTGACAGTGGCCGGGGTTTAATAACTTTCCGGTCGAGACTTGTACCGGTTCTTCTCTCGTTGTCGCCGAGAACCCAGACCAATTCTCACTTTCTCTCCGCATTGGTAAACAACGCCAGACTTCGCTTTCCCTCTCCGAATTTCGTCGCTAGAATCGCATTCTGCGCGTTAAGCATTTGAAGGAATGGTGGGTTCTACTCCTCCCGCCCCGGCCACGCTCCCTCATTTCCAATTTTGTTTTTTATTTATTTTTTCTTGGGAAACCGACCGCATTAGAGTTATTACTTTCCGAACTTGTTTCTGTCCGGAAGGAATTCCGGATCGGAAAGACCCTTCCGACGGATTTCGAATGCGACGGTGTAACGAGCGGAAGAGGATTTAGGAGCGGAGACGATAGGACGCACGTGGGGAAGGGCCTCCGTTACGCGCCGAGAGGTTGCGGATAAAAAAAGCGGTGTGTAGAAAAAACGCGTTCGGAGGAGAGGAAGTCGTTTAGAGAGCGATGTCTACATTGTGTTCGAGCCGAGACGTTAATTATGCAAATGAGGTTTTTCCCCGGCGTTTATATCAATTAGACGGGATTAATTAAAAGAAATTCTCGGACCCATTGTGACGGATATCGGCGCGATAAATTGTGGGAAATCTTTTCCGCCGAATTAATTACAGGCCACTTTTTCCCCGACGCGGACTTAACCGAGAGCGAATTCCGCGTCCTCTCCGACCTTAATTACGCGTCGACGCCGCCCGGTCGCCGACGGAACGCGTCCGACCCCAGACCGCGCGCTCTGCCTTCCCTGTTCCGCCCACGTTCCGTTTGTCGATTGAACGGTAGGAGCAGAGGAACGTTCCGTTTTTCCGCCGCAGAACGGAACGAAGCCGTTTTCCGTCGTCCCGGGAGGCCGGGCAGAATTCCCAGTTTGAAAGAGGCGCGTCGGCGTCGGAACCGAGTAGCGTCGCGTAACGTGATTTATCCCGGTGGTCGTTCGCCGGCGAGAGAAAGGTAAACTTGGAATCCGGGGGACACGCCTTCCTGCCTACCTCCCGCGGCACTCATCAATATCTTCGCGTCGAGTTAATACAAACACCTGCGGGGTAGCACGACGTGTTTTTTAATTAAAAAAATCTCCCCCTCGCCTCCTCCCCTACGTCGCGCCGACGTCTCGCTCTTCTCGTCGTTAAGTGAGCGACGACGCGAAGCCAGCGCCCGGCCGACTCGTAAATTATCTTAACGTAACCCGCGGACGGCCGACGGGAGGCCCGCGGCCCACCTTTCGCCGACGCCCCGGGGTCGAAGTTCGAGCGGCTTCGGCGGTAGCTCCTCCGTCGGACCATTAATTCCCGGCCGCTGGCCTTATATTTGGAGAGAGCCAGATTTCGGCGCTTCTCGCCTCCGTCGCGCACCAAACTCGGCGGCGACCCGAGCCGGTATGGGGCGCTGCTCGACGCGTCGTATAGCGCTCGGACGACGGAACGGAACGCGTTTGGCTGGGAGGAAGCGTGACGCTAACCGAATTTTCCTTGTTGTTGCAGTTATACGAGCTTACGGAAGATCCGAAGAGGAAGGAGTTTTTGGACGATTTATTTAACTTCATGCAACAACGAGGTAAGAGCGCGCGCACGGGTCGTGTGTTTGCCGGGGAGAGTGAGTGCTTCGCCCTTGGCTGACTCATCGTTCGTTAGACGTGACTAATGCTTTTTGATCCGCCTAAATGTGACTGTTATCGTAGACGCCCTGACAGAAACGTATCGCGCTGCTCTCCGCGATCGCGTAACGGAAACACCTTATCGACAACGTAAGGTGGAAAGATTTCCGAAACTTATATTTTATGAAATTGACGCGGGTTGCTCTTGTGACGTTTGATAAATGCGAGGAAAAAACGAGTGGAATTTTTAAATCGGACCGTTTTAAAAATGACCTAATTACGATGTTTGGCAACCTTTGGAAAAGTGGCTGTCGTGTGTAAGTGTTTTAATCCATTCTCTCGGGTGAATAGGGGAGGTGTTACAAAATCGTGCACGATAAATGACCGTTCTCTTCTTCTGCACGCAGGACGGCTATTATTCTTACGCGGATGGGGAAAGAGAGGGACAGAAACATCTAAAATTGTTTTAAGGGAAGATGTGTAGCGCCATGTGGTGAAACGGAAAATACAATTAACATTCCTTTCATGCACCAGCAGTCAGCCAACTTATAGAGAGGGGATCGAGACAAAGAAATCTTCTGACCAAACTTATTGTAGCCAACGATCCATGGACAACGGAGAAAATTTTCACTGAAAGATCTTATCATCGCCCACTGGATAATTTCATTAAAAGGGGGAAAATGCCCCCTAGTCATTACATGTGATGTTTTCATATTCATGAGGTTGAACAACGACGCTGCTAACAAAAGAAAATCAGAAGATGCTTTGGTTGCCTCATAGCACGACTTGAGTCAACATTGGTTTTTAAATGCTTTCTTAACTTTAAGGCGGTTTCATCTAATTACTTTTAATTAGCGTGCGTAAGGATATTATTAAAGTCTGACACGAAGTGCTCTAACAAAGAGACAACAATGGTGTGGTTAGTTCGTTTCGCCATTCTTTTAGATTGCTTCCGAAAATGGGGAACTATAATAGAGTTTCCTCTACTCGACTTAGTTTCCTTCGATTTGCCGTATATAAAATTAAGGAAATTTTTTACAAGAATTCATCACGTAACTACTACTAACTTTGTCACTTTCGTCGCAAAAGATCGTGCTTGGCACGCTTTTTAACCTGGTCTCAACCGCAAACTAAACGTTACGAACCTCCTTATTAATGCTAATTGTTATTAATCATTAAAAAGACCAAAAAGAGATGTGACACGTAACGATTGCAAATGTTTCTCTTGGCAACGAAGAATTAAACTTACTCCTGAAATAATTCTCAATTCCCCGCAGATCTTATTAAAATAAGTGTTTTTGCTCTGAAACAAATAAGGAGATAAGACAGATACTCAATATTTTTCTTGGTCCACCCGACCTAGCAATATTCAAATCTACTAATTCCGAATGCAGTTTATATTTACGCTCTTTTTCTTAATCGCTTAATGAAATTGCTAATAGGAATATTAATCATTTAATGAAATTGCATTTTATAATTCAATTTCGTTACATGATTAATAGGAAGCGAAAAAGGGGCTATCATTTTTTATCCGTTTTTCAAATTTATTTCTCGGTAAATTAATAATAAATATTATTTTAATTATGGATTGTGCAAAAATAACAAGTCTTTCGCCTAATAAAATACTCGATGATATATAGTTTAGAGGCAGCGATGAACAGGTTTTGTCACATTTTATCTTGGCTGGCGGTTTGCGTTTTACCTGTTGATAATTGCTCGCCTGTCCCTTAGTTTGCGAAAGGTGTGGAACGTTTATTTGTCAGGCCAGTCACCTTGCACCATAAAGCGTGCTATACCTCCTTTCGTGCCCTCTCTTGCCGTTCGTTTGAATAGAACGCACACTCCGATTGTTAAAAGATTTGCTCGCAGCTTTTTACTTTCAACACGTGGAGGCCCTTAGGCTCGCCGGTCGATTGTCTATTTTTAAAAGAAGATTTTTAATATTAATTCAAAATATTTTTCGCCAAACGATGAGCGTTTCCGACATTGTTTAAAAATAGAATAGTTCTGCATTTTCTCATTTTAGACAAGAAATATGCTATTGATTAATTGTTCTTGTCGTCAGCAGAAATGGAGAACAATGAACAGTTCGTGATGTACGAGTAACGCAGCCTTTGTCATTGTCTGTCGATAATTGTTACGTCACAAAGGGATCTATATATTAGACAGACGAGCTGTGCCGATGTCATTCGATAGACAGTCGCAATTAATAACGTCATTCTTGTCATCTGTCATCTTATTGAAAACGGTATGCTAAACGGGATCATTTTTCATCAATCACGCCGACGGCCATTTTATTTAATTAAGATATGAAAATCAAGAATGCGGTTTAACAAAAAAATCTTAAAGGTATCTTCATTTAATTTTAACCAACAGGTCTGTAACACATTTACAAACTCGCCGTACGGGAGGAGCGGGATGGTAGAGGAAGTTGTAGCGATGTTTATGTGCAGGATGTTTGGCCCGGAGCCCCACTGTCGATTGCGGTGTGATATCCCAGTTAATGACTACACTTGATGATACTCGTTTGGACAGATTTACGAAGCCCACCCGACAATTTACCTGTCAAAGTACGGCCACCACGTCGCCCGGCCTTTTCGCGTACCGGTTGGTCTTTTTTGTTGTAGGTCTACTCATTCGTTCCCTCTGGCCTTTAATTACCTAACTTTCATCAGCTCGGAGTGAAGGTGGGTGTGGCAGTACGCGGGTGCTATATCTTCACCCCGCAACGATCAGGTGTGCACGGACACTTTGCCACCCTTTAATCTTATGTAGTTTCGCCCTCCCCGCATCATTTTTACTTTTTCTGTATATATCTTTCGCCATCTGGGTGTATGAACTACACCTACATGACATTCAGGCGTTACGCTCTTCACCGGTATCTTCCGCTTACGTCACTATATCCTAAAACAGCGAGTTTTTAGCACTCCGAGCAATAATATAGAATATACTTTTACGTCCAGGTGAGTAAGCTATAATAATTCGAGTCTATTCGAACACCAAGAATTCCAAATGCCGATTTCTTGTCAATTGGTGCCAGGAAATCGGCCTTTCAGATTAGCGGCATTGTTATTCTCTTCTACCCGTTTTAATCATTACATTTCAAAATATGAATATTAGCTTTACCACTAAAATTGGAATACTTTAATATGTAAATGTTAATTATTCTCCTGGAAGAAATACTTTCATTATTTTTCGAATAGATCAAAATCCTGTTTATTTGAATTGAAATAGTATATTTAAGAACAAATCCGAACACGTGGCAAAATTAAAAATTCATATATAGTTTAATTTTTAATTTTTCCACATTTAATAATTCAAAAAGTCAACTATTGTCTTAACTTTATCGATTTTAACATTGATTCTGTCAGCTTTCTCTAGCTTAAATTCAATTAGACACTATATTAATATACTGTTTTATATTAGCATACTGTTTTTTTTGTCAAAAATTATAACAAAATCAAAAATTCTTTTTAAATATGTTGTAAACAAATTTTGCTGTAGCATGCAGTTTTAAATTATAGGCCGATAATTTTAAAATGTATTGTGATAACGGATGATGTTATCGAATTATTACATTCGGGCCAATCTAGTAAAAATGGCTAGGAAATATGTTTATAGTGATCGAAAATTTCGTCTTTTTCTTGTCGTGTTGGCATTAGTCTCGATTTTTAGGCTATTTCAAACGTAAGAGAAATAAATAAATAAAAGGAAAAAAGAGAAGTAAAGGAAAAAAAAAAGGAAACAACAGAACACAAATAATAAACTGTTGATAGTCAAATGTTATTGAAATTTTTAACACGAATCACGCATTTGTCATGCTGACATCCAGAATCAACGGGCGAAAAAAAAAAAGGAAAAAAGAGAAAGAGAGAGAGAGAGAGAATAGGGAAAAAAACCCAAAACTCATAAAATTGATAAATCGACGAATATCGAAATGCGAGAAGGTCTACGAATTTTTCAAATGGTATACAATATAAATCGAATGAATTTCATTTAGTTGTATGAATATCTGTTAGTACTAACAGTTTTTTTTTCTTATTTATTGGCTTGTTCCGAATAAAACAATCGACATTATTTTAAAATGAACTTTTTACTATTCTTAGTTTATATATATTATATATTAAATTTACTTTTTTTACTTTTAATTATGTATTTATTATATTCTGTCAGTAAACGTTGCGATTGGTGAATTTTTATAATTGATTAATATTATTATTCAAACGTTGTTATTTCTATTGTGCTTGAAAACGATTATTTTAAGCGACGTTCTACATTACAAAAGCAATGGATGTTTCCATTCGTACAAAATTAAATAGTATGTTGGAAGTAAATATATACAGTACTTTAATTACTGCTTACGAATGGATTATGCTAGCCGTTCACCTTTTTTTAAAAAAAAAATATTTAGTTTACTTGTTAATATTTACACTTAGAATATTATCTGTTTAAATTAAAATTAAATGAAATAGTTTCTTCCCTTATCAAACACCGTGAAACAGATAAAATCTATATTTCAATTTTTAATGTTAAAGTAAATCTTGTAAGTAGAGTTTATAACTATACGTCGATATGAATTTCTTCTCCAGACCACGATTTTCTCACGGTTGCGTTTAATTACAGTAACGCTTTCTCACACACGAACAGGGGTGGAACTTTGTCATCAAAATGGTGAAATAATTGATGAAATATCACCCTCGAGTTGTGGAAGAAATGAGCATCGCAAGAATTGTAAGTTCTGATCTTGGCATGGGAGCCAGTTTCTAGCAAATCGCAGTGGGGGAGGAGCTTCGCTTAGGGGCATTGCAAACAAAACTTGACCCTGACCACCATAAATCTGCTTAAGAAACCTCCCCATTCGACCATTTGCCCCCAGGTTATAGCTTTTAATGAAGGAGTCACCATGGTAACTGGGAATCGGGTGTGCATCACGTTGTTGGAAGGTTGGATCAGAAAGGAT